TAAGGTCACACAACTGATGAAAGACGGCGGTAGGACCCGTATCCAGGTCTGTTTTGTTTCACAGTCCCTGCGCTCACACTCTGTGTTCTGCCTCCAGAGTCACGACAAGTTTCTTGGGACTTTGATGACCTACGAGAAGGCAGGCGATCCACAGAAGCTGAAGGGGGCATTACCATAGACCAGATCTGGCTGTGAGCTGCTTGGGTGGATTCTCCCAGCTTCTGCACGGAGGAAGTCCTCCCTCCTCCCCAGCTCAGCTTCTGCAAAAGCCCAAAGAGTGTGACTCCAGGCCCAGGGAACAGTGGCAGTGCAGGGTCCAGGTTTGCTTTGGCTCAGGCTCCTGTTTCAAAGCTGAATAATCAGGAGCCCTTCAAGAAGGATTTCTGAAAAGCCATCAGGAGTGAATCATTGACTTAGGGAGGCGATGAATCAACCGGGAGTTCATAAAACGGCAAATGAATCGGGTGTGAGCGCAACGGAGCCACCGCTATTCCCCAGAACCCTCCAGGGACAGAGAGCCGAGAGAAAAGAAATAAAAATAACACGAGGCCTTATGCCTGCTACACACCCAAGGCAAGCCCTCTTCCCATGTGGGAAGACAGAGTGGAAGAGAGGGACCCACTCGTGGGTGAACTGGGGCAGAGGATGCTCCCAGGGCACTTTGGGATCCCTGGGTCCAGGCTGTGGGTGTAATTAGCAAACGCCTTTTCCCCTTCTTTTCAGGAGCCCTCACAAGAAAGAACACTGATTTTGACGAACACCCAAAATAATGTGAGATCAGGCACCATGCATTATGCATGAGGTCTGATTTAACATGAACATTATTTCTTGTGTACGAGACCATATGCCTCCGTGCTGTCTCTATAGCCTAATAATACCCAGTCCCACCCTGGTCAGACTCAGCAGGGAGATGTGTCCACTGCTGTGTGTGGTTGGAGATGGGGTGGGCAGGGGAAGGGTTGTAGCACAATGCTCCTGGTCCTTGGGTCATTTGAGGAGAGGCCATTAAAATGCTCTGAAGGGAGGTGGGAAGCAGGGGGTGGGTTATACTCTTGTAGTGTAGAGTGGGTATTATTTTGTGAAATGCTAGTGTGTGTGTGTGTGTGTGTGTGTGTGTGTGTGTGTGTGTGTGTCAGAGAGAGAAAGAGAGCGATCAGGAGCCTGTGACTAGGTGAAACTGGGTTCATCATAGGGCCACGTGGGGGCCTGTGCATAGCTAGGTTTTACTGTTCAAGGATGATGGTGGAATGGGTAGAGCTAATTGCTGTGTGTGTTTGTATATATACACGCATATGTATGTGTGGGGGTGTGTGTTTAAAAAATAAGATCACACATACATACAAACACACAGCCTAACTTTAATTATCTGAAAGGAACAGAAAGAGATCTGGGAGGAGCTGGGGCAATGATGGGCAGGGATGTATTTGGAAAGTGGTTTGTGGGGTAAGTGCTTAGAAATCTTGAAAGGAGAGGGTCTGGCTAAACGTGGCAGCGGATGGCGGTGTGTGTTAATCAAATAGCACATGGGCCAGGTACCTGGACTCCCAAGAGTTCAGTGCCAACCACCAGAAAGCTGGGTCTGGATGGGGGAAGGGTCGTGTGGGTAATGCCGTGTGTGTGTGTGTGTGTGTGTGTGTGTGTGTGTGTGTGTGTGTGTGTGTGTAAGCTGTTGATCTGGTGAGAGGAGGGATGGGGAAGTGTGTGAGTAGGAGAGATGGAAGAGGCAGTGTGTGGTAGTGGGTTTCTGAGCGTGGCTGTGTGAGCGGACAGTTGGTAGATGGCAAGGGAAAGCTCACAAGCATATTTTTGTCTCTGTGAAGCAGGACTGCTGCTTCCTTTGGGGCCTGAAGTCAGTCAGCTCTGCTCTAGCTGGCAAAGCCTGCGGAGTAATCCCCTTGAAGTTGACTTGGGAGGAGGCATGCTCAACAATGAGGTGTTTCTGGTGACTGGTGTCATGTCCCAGCTCCGAGACCAATAGAGGGCAGTCCTCTCACATGGAGCCTTGAGCGGCACCCGGGAACCCTGGCGGACCTGGCGAACGCAAACTCCCGGGCCTTCATGTAGGACATGAGAGGACAAAACCTGAAGTGTCTCTAAGCCATCTCTGGCATCTCTAACCTGAGACCCTGGGAAGACCTTCTTGGCTAAACTTATGGGAGTAAGTTGGGCCAGATAACCCCCTGTTGCTCTACCCTCTGCCTGGGTGGTTCTCCTTTCAAAGGGAGCTCAAGCCTTGCTGTGGAGAGCTCAGGAAGGAAGAAGACTGGCCTTGGGTGGGTCACATTAATTTATCTTGCCCTCCGCAGTCAGTCCCTGAGCCTGTTCTAGGAACTTCCAAGTGGCTCCAAGTTGGCAGCTGCGGTTAGGAGTCAGGTAGCCCATTCTAGGGATAAGGGATGGTTGCTTGGGACCTCCTGCCAGGCAACACAAGGTCGTATCACTTGGGGCAGCAGGTGAGGGAGACTATCAATGTGCTCAGTACTCAGGACAGGGTATCTTCTGGGCTTGCCTTCATGACCACAGGTGACCAGGTAACCACAATAGCCACCTTCCTTCTTTTTAGTGTTAACAGCCCCTTTACCCCTGCAAATGCTCTGGATCCGATTTTCAATATAATATGGACACCCCCCCCCCCCCCCCGCCACACACCTCGTGGCTCTGGGATCAGCCCTGGATTTTCACACATGAAACAGAATACATCAGCAGGTGGATGTTCTCATGGGACCCGTCAAGTTCTGCCGATCTGTGGCTACATGATTACGAGAAATAATTTTGTCTGAATGTAAAAGGTGAGAGAGAGCCTCTGAAATTCCAAGCTGGCCGTGGAAAGTTGGGCTTAAGATTGGGGACACGTGCCACTCTGGGACAAATGAAAAGTCTGGGGAACTCTGGAGCAAGCAGGTAGACAGACCTGCATACAGGAAATACAGAAGCCTCCAGCTGATGTGCCTTTCTTCAACTATTTTGCCAAGGGATTAGGGCTCTAGGTTCCCAGGTTGTCTGGAGCAGGAGTCTGAAGAAGCCCTAGGGCCTTCTGCTAAGAAGGGGTTATCGCTGGGTAGCTACCCCGGGCTGGTGTCTCATTAAGCAAAATCCTTGCACTGCAAGATTTTCTCCCCCCACTTCCCCACCTTTCTCTCCTTTTTGTTCTTCTCCTCAGCTGCTGTGGGTTCTTGGGAGGGAGACTGCATTGTTTTGCTATTTTTGAGTTGACTTGCTGAAATAATAAGCCCACCCTCTTGTACAAGATTAAGCAGACAATTAGGAAATCAATCAATCAATTGGTGTCAGCTGTAGGCAAGAGGCCAGTGAAAGGCCCCTGTCTTCCCCAAGGCCTTTCCAATCTCAAAACCGGCCGAGACTCGGCTGACAGGGGCTGGGAAGCCAAGTTTCCTTTGCTTCCATTTTGGGACCCTCCAAGGCAGGGACAAATCCAGGGGTGGAGAACCAGGGAGTTGGGAGGAATATGGGATGGCTTGCTTCAAAGTTTTGTATTTAATGGAGCACGAAATGAGACGCTGAGGTAGGGTGGTCAACGACTGTGCCATCACCCCGCGGGCCCACAAGTCTCTGTCTCTTCCTTGAGAAGCACTAGGAGGCTCAGCAGGGACAGGAGAGACAGCAGGGACTCTGGTGCCCATCACAGGGCTACTCATGAACTAAAAGAAATAATTAAAAAAAAAAAATTAAAAGGAGCAGAGAGTGAGCTGAGCTTTTGGAAAATGCAGGCACCTTTGTGCTTGGAGAGATAAGACCTCCTTGGACTCAAGGGGCAGGACCTAGGAGAGCCACCAGGACTCAGCACGGTTATCCCAAGGTTCCAGCCCAGCCAGGAAGCACCAGTTTGGGCTCCTGAAACACCTGACTCAGCCCACCAGCTAGAGCCAAGGGCTCTCCAAAGGCCCAGAACTCGAGCAGCTTCTGGGGCCTGCAAGCCTCCATATACCCCCGCAGCAGGGATACACCTTTCTCCCCAGACAAGCCACCGTGCCTTCAAGCTTTGCTCCCCAAAGTAGGAGGGACCTGGTAGGATTTCTCCTGAGAAGGGAGAAGAACCATGGACTACGGTAGAAACGGGAAGAGTCTGAAAGGAGGAACCTATTTTGACTGGGATGCCAGCCTTCTTGGGTTCTGAGCTGAATTGAGACCTGCCCCCAGTATAGGGGCTCTCAGAGGGGATGCTGCCATAGAGGAATTAAGAGAACCTCTCAGACGTTTCCCCTTCAGGTCCCGATGCACAGGGTCTCCCTTCCATCAGCACACTCACGTCTCCCCTCTGTGCTGCTCTTCTGTGTCAGCCCTAGGAGATGCAGCAAGCCTTTGCCACACCATGGTTTGCATCCCTACCTCTCTCCAACAGTGCCTGGGACTGGTGGCTTGTTTGCAGAGCAGACCTAGATTTGTCTAGGCAGACAGGCAGGCCTCCCTCCCAAGCCGACTTAGTCATGCAGGACCACTGAATGGACCTCAGTCTGAACTCCCGCCAGATGTCCCATGTATCTAGGTGGGCTTGGGTACCATTTGTTTGGATGGAGAACCATCTGGGAGAGGATGGAAGAGCTTGACCAGGTTCCCAGTTGCCCCATGACGATGAAACTTGGCCCGGATCCTGCACATGGAGTGCAAGGTGAAATCAATGTTAGGGTTTGGGGTGTCAGGCCAGGGAAACAAATTCAAGGTTGGTAATCCAGGAAGAGATGAGTGGCTTCTTTGGCTCTGACCCCAAGTTCCACGTGGTGTCAATGGTTTCCTGTCCTAGGCCCTGAGCTAGTCTCAGAAGTCAATGGGAAAGGGATGTGATTCACTTTCTCTAGACTGGTGTGCTTGGGCCAGGTGCCCAACTGTTTGCCCAAGCAACAGGCAGTCCTGACACCAACCCGGAAGAAGGCTGGTGGTTCCTCTCCTCTCTGAGCCCACAACTTCAGGAGAAGGGACCAGGTAGGGGACTCTCACCCCTTCCCACAAAACAAGCCCTAGCAGTAAAGAGAACAGGACACAGCCCTGGGGTACATGTTTATGTGAGTAATAAAATATTTACTATAACATAAATATAAAGGGAACTTCCCAGTCTACATTATTTTTTTTGCAATAAAGATACAAAGAGAATGCACCAAACATTGTTCCAAAAATAATAAAAATAACAAAATTTAAGCTCAAACCTTAACAAACAGATGAAGAGACGGTGAAGGGGGAAGCTCCGAACACATCCAGAAAATAAATAGAGATGGGTCAGAAATCAGGAAACCATATTAAAATATCTTTTTCGGTTTAGTCGGGTGTACAAAACCCTTTAGGATGGGGAGGGGCAACAACCCAGAAAACCAAAAAATAAAAACCAAGCACAAAATGTTTCTTCCCCCCCCTTGCCAGTGTGTACATATCTCACATATTTACATGGTTCCCACCTCACCCCAAATTTGGAGAATTTCTCTCCAGGGTTCCCCCAGCATCCCGAGGGGGCTGGAAAGAGAGCAGGGGGAAGCGGTAGGGAATCAGGCGGAAGGTTTTTGGGGGTCATGGTTTATTTCTACAGCTGGTTAAAAAATAGTTCCAACTTTTCCAAGTTTCGTTCGTTAAGGCCAGGAGGGGCAGGGCCCGGCGGGGAAGCGGCGGCCCGCGGTGCGTGCTCGGTCTTGCGGGTGGAGATGCCCCTTCTCACCCGGGTGTGCGTGGGAGCGCAGACCCTCTCCGCTAGGCCACGAACCGAGCCGAGGGCTCGGGTAAAACGAAACGAAAATGAACACTCAAAAATTTTTTTTGTTAGTTTTTTTTGTTTGTTTTTGTTTTGCGTTCTTGGAGGAAGGAGGAGAGGGTAAGAGAAAGGGAAAATAAATTAGGCTAGATTAAAGCTTTGGCTATTTCCTGCTTTTATACACAGATGCGGCTCTCGCGGCCTCCCCTCCGGGGCCCCGATAAATACAGTATACAGCGATTTAAATTAAGGGCGCGGGCGGAGTTAGAAGGACCCCAGGAGCCGAGAGGCTCCACGAATAAATAAAAACCGTAAAAAACCAAGCCCGGAGAAAGGGTGAGGGGGTGGGGCGCATCCTGGTGCGAGAGAAGAGGCGCGGAGAGAATAAAGTGACAGCCCCCCACCCGTGACCTGCAGGCTACGGGGAGTCCTGAGCCCAGGAGAGCTGCTGGGGACTCTCCTCTCTTCGTCCTTTCTCCCGGGAATCCCTAACCCCGCACCGCGTTACCTTTCGCTGTGGGGAGGCCGCTGCCGGGATCCGGCCCCGAACAGCCCGGGGGCAGGGGCGGGGGTCGTCGAGGGTATGGGGACAGGGAGCAGGCAGTGGGCAGAGGGCGCCCAGACTGAGTTGGCGCATTCCGGATCTTCGCTGCTCTCTCCCGGGACTCGGGCGACACAGCCTCTCGGCGGCCCTTCGCCGCTCGCCGGAGAGGGGTTCGGTCCCGGGTGTTTGGTTTTGTTTAAAAGTTTCTGGGCTTTTTTATTTTTTCCTTTTTGTAAAATCCAAAGCAACCGAATAAACAACAACAACAACAAAAAAGAGTCCAGGCCGCGCGGGCTGACTGCGCGCCGGGGGCACCGCTGCGCCCGTGGAGAACACAGCCCGCAGGGTCACTGCACTGAGCCGGGCAGTGTGTGGTGGTGGTGGTGGTGCAGCGCAGCCGGAGGGGGTGGCGGGGGCGCAGAGGGTGGCGACGCGCCGCCCCCACCAGGCCCCAGCTCCCCAGGCGCGTAAACGTCGTCCATGGGCGGGTGGCCCGCGCCGGCCGCGGGGGTCATGCGCTTCTCCTTCTGCCGCCGGTTGCAGAACCAGACACGCACCACCTCCTTCTCCAGCTGCAGGCTGTCGGCCAGGCCGGTGATCTCGTGCGCAGAAGGCTTGGGACACTTGAGAAAGTGGCTCTCGAGCGCGCCTTTGACCCCCACCTCAATGGACGTGCGCTTCTTGCGCTTGCGGCCCTGCGCCGCGATCTTGTCCAGGTTGGTGGGACTGCCGCTGGACGAGTCGGTCTCCTCCAGCCACTTGTTGAGCAGCGGCTTGAGCTTGCACATGTTCTTGAAGCTCAGCTGCAGGGCCTCGAAGCGGCAGATGGTGGTCTGCGAGAACACGTTACCGTAGAGTGTGCCTAGCGCCAGCCCCACGTCGGCCTGGGTGAAGCCCAGCTTGATGCGCCGTTGCTTGAACTGCTTGGCGAACTGCTCCAGGTCGTCGGAGCTGGGAGCATCCTCGTCCGAGTGCTCGCCCACCGACGAGCCACCACCGCCCGCGCCTGGGTGCAGGTGCGCCGCCGCCGCGTGCAGGCCGCCCGCGTGTGCATGTCCGTGTGCGTGTCCGTGTGCGCCCAGGTGCGGCGGCGGCGACGGCTCCAGCTGTGCCTCGTGGCCGTCCTCGTGCAGCGCGTGGTGCAGGCCGG